TGATGAAAGTCATTGGAGATGAGGTAGTCAGGGAACTGTTAAGCCCAAATGGAAATTGATGTCACCCAGGATAATGGTAGGACTTGAGTTCGGGTTCAGACAGCTGAGAGCCAGGTCCCCAAGGAATGCAATGGGTAGAAGATGGAATAATCAGTTTGTATGAACCTCAAAGACCAAGGATTTTTACCTGGAAAAGATGTGAATTGGAAGAGGCAGGAGCAGCCAAAAAGACTGCAAGCCTACCTCTCACCCATGAAGTAAATGGGGTGCTAGGCCCCTTTCTAGTTGCAGGAGATACAGAAGTGAACAAGCACTAAGGTTCTTGCTCTTAAAATATGATACTTTCAGATAAGAATACATTCTCTGAAAGCATCAAAACAAGGCAATGAGAGGAGTGGCAGGAGGCCACACAAGTCAGGCTAGGCCTCTCTGAAGGTGTTACATTTCAACTGAGACCCTAAGACAGAGTCAGCCATGCTTGGATCAGGGAAAGAGCACTTCAGGCTGAGAGAATTGCAAATGTGAAGGCTCTCCAGGGGGAACAAGTAATCTATTCCTCCCTTCTGGTCCCATAACATTTTGTTATTCTCCTATAGCTCTTAATACCTCTGCTTTGTATTATTACCATCAGTGAACATGTTTTCTCCTCCTCTACTTCTGAGGATTCGACACCTTGTCCTAGTTATCTTTGTTACCCACAGTTCTGAGAAAAACTTTTGATTCCATTGAGGCTAAAAATTTTATGTGATAAACATTTGCAATTAATTTCTCCAAGGAAATAACTACTAACCAATTCATTAACTAATTTGATATGCTTACTTGTCAACTTACTTGTGTTTAAACTGGATGCTCCTTGTTTTGTTATGATAATTACTGACTGACAACAAGAGAGAATGACCTAGAATTGCATAAGGATATTACAATTACTGTATTTCCTAATAGGAACCCTCTTAGATCAATAATTTAACATAAATAGAACAAGTTTCAAAGTCTTGCTTACACTAATCAATTAATATTTCTCGGGGGGAAAATGAAAAATAGAAAAACTGATAAATTTGTTCATTGGCAAGTGTTGTTATTTATCTCTTCTTATGATACACTAGTTCAGATTCCGTTTCATCTTGGTGGTGTGAGCCAAGTAGCTGTTTAAAAGATCCCTCTGCCTCTGTACACATGACCCTATTAGATGCCTGGAAGAAGCAAAGGTAAACTGAGCAGCTGAATAGAGGGTTTCTAGAAAAATTTAAGGATGCTGCAAAACAAAATTATTGATTTAAATGCATGGCACGTTTCAAAGAAATATCCTAGCATTTAAGTAAAATGCTGTAACTAGAAATTCCTATAGAAATTTCATTTAATGTTTACATAGGGTAATAATAATTGCTTTGTTAGTAAGGTACTCATTGAGTGCCTGGTGTGTGTGGAATAAAGCACTATGGAGGGTAGAAAACTAAATGTAACCTAAAATGTTCCAAGTTATTTATTGCAGCTTTGTTTATAATAAATTATTGAAGACAACTCATGTGAGTCCATCGGTGGGGAATTGGTTACATGAACAATAGTACACTCACACCATAGAATACTATATAGCTATAAAAAAGAATACACAAAAAGGGTCTCTATAAAAAAGAATACACAGGGGCCGCCAGGTGGCGCAGCAGTTAAGTGCGCGTGCTCTGCTGCGGCGGCCCGGGGTTCGCAGGTTCGGATCCCGGGTGCGCACCGATGC